ACACACACACACACACACACACACACACACACACACACACACACACACACGTTTTCATCCTCATATTGTTCTGTCTTGTCTCTTGTTTTGCAAAGTTAAATAAAAATATAAAGAAAGTTCAGAGTGAATACTTTGATAGTCTCTCCACTATCATTCACACAGGTTTCATCTCAGCCTTGCTTCGACTTTGCCTAGGGGCAAAGATTTATCTCTCTGTCTGCTCAGCAAAAACACATCAGCAACAATCCATCAACAGCTCGTTGCCTCACACAGCAGCGTCTTTCCTACTGAGCCCAAGGTGACGACATGGCTACAAACGCTTCAGCTGTGCAGCAGCTAAATGTTTAGCAGAGTAGTGTTTTAGCAATTTTTTAACGCTGTGGAGGAATAAAGCTGCAGAAATAGTAAATGCCATAACAGCCCTCTCAGTCTCTGCCCCCCTCTGTACAAAACAGTTGGGCTTCCAAAGTGGACAGAGAAAAGGCTGCTGTCATCGACCTGCTGAATTGTTCAGTCGAGTCTATGCAGCAGCCCGAAAGCAAAGTGGCAGATTCTCCCAGAACTGCATGCATCAGTGACTTCCTCTTGTACTGAATGTGTAGGTGAGAAATTGAAATCTTTTTTAACACTAGGAGGTAAAATACAGGTACAGTGCATAGTGTGTGACTTCTTACAATTATAATTTGAAGCCTATATTTCAGAGAGCTTGGCAGATGCCTCATAACTTCCTGTCAATCCTGGGTACATGTGATTTCGCCCTGAAGCGCAGTGTTTTGCTCACAATGAGGAAGAGAGACTGTTGTTCTGCTCTGATGTTCCTTGGACAGTGAACATACAGCTATGGTGCAGTGCACACAGAGGTTGTTTGTGCGCCGTGAGACAGAGCGGGCAGCCAGTATTTCAAAACACATGTGGATCCAGAGGGTTTGTGAAAGAGGCTCACAAGCCTTTGTGCACATGGACGCGGTCCATCCAGCTGCCACACATGTGGACAGACCAAAGAGTGGAGCAGCATCAGAAAAGACAGAACGAAAACAAACTGACACACATACTGTAGCTGCAGTATAGGTATCCTCCATGTTGGTGGATGGGACATGGACCAAACTAAAAAGTCACATCAAATAAAATTTTCTCAAAGACAGTTTCTGTCATTTTAAGTAGTTCATATCACACTGTGATGTTCATGTGTCTGATTGACAACTGAGACTGACGTGTGATTGGTCGAGCATGTATAGACTGGCCCTCACTACCTTGGGTCCATCCCCCATTCGCTACTGTGCAGACTCTGGCGACCTTTGCTTCTCGGATATTTTAGTTTCATTTCTGGATATTGGAAGAAAGTGTAGATGCGTCGGCCATCTTTATATACATACTATACATACATACTGCATGTTTGTCAGTTCATTTTCTCTCTTTCTATACCAGTACCTTTCTGTGTGTATATATATATGAAAACAAGGACCAAGGTTGACGTGGTAAAAAAGGCTAAAATAAGCTCTATATAGCTGAGAGTACACGTGGAGTTGATAATTCTCCGTGGGCTCTAAAAGCAACACCTTTCACATTCCACTTCATGTCATTTAATCTATTGTTAATCTTGAAATAATAGATTAGTGCAGCTTTAAAAATGAAAGAAGCAATTTGTTCTCTGACCTCATCTCTAATCACATAGTTCTTTTTGATACCTTTAACCGTTTCTGCCTCCTCTCACATATCCTTCTGTCCAGTGCTGTTGTTGACCTGTTTGAACAAGTTTCATCAAGGTTCTCTCATGGATTCCCTTTTTTATTGCAGTTGGTTTGTCAGTCTTTTAATATTAAATACTTCCCTCTTTTGAGCTAAGCATCATCCCTTTGTCCCAAACACGTTGATCTCACCCACATTGACCATTGGTTTTATCTGTCGCACCATCATTCTGCCCCTTGACAGCACAGCAAATTAATGAAGTGACAAATTATGTCTTGCTGGTCGTAAACTTGGGCCCCTGTTTAATTTAAATCCTAATGTGTTTCCACATCCCGTCTGACACCACAGACCAAACAGTTTTATTGGACCATTTACAGGAGCGGGTTGATGTCACCGGGTCGATGCTTGAGTGGTTTGAATCCTACTTTTTAACCGTGCTGACTGTTAAAATAGACATTTTTATTACATCTGCAAATATCTGTGCCACCAGGGTTACACTTTACTTAATGTTTTCATTCTGACCTGATTTTGCTCCACTTGGTTCAATCATATGAAATTGTAATAGTTCAAATATTCTTTCTTTAACTAAAGTCACATTCGTTTTTTTCTACTTTAACACCTTCAGAGGTTATTTATGCATTCATTGAATCTTATTATTCTTGATGAATTAGTATGCAGGACAGGTCTGCAGTGACATCCTATCTGACAGAATACACTTGTTAGATACATTTGGGGGTTTCTTTTGGTCTGCTTTCATGTCTGGAACAAAATTTAAAAAAAACCTGCATTAGTGTCACATCCTAGTTTGTCACTACAAAATGTCATCTCGGGTCATGAGTTTGGAGAAACACGAAACAAAGAGAATGTTAGTTGTTCAGCTTCCTTGGAGATAAAAGTCAAAATGACTGCTTCAAAGTGGTTTCAAAAAAGAGGAATGTTGCCATTTTACAATTTAGTGCTGACTGTAGTTTAGATTTAAAGCATAGTGCATAAATTAAATATCCATTCATCCATTATCTATACCACCTTTCACACTTATGGTCAATTTAGAGTCTCCAAACCCCAATCTGCAAGGCTTTGGGCTATGGGAAGAAGCCGGAGAAAATAACCCGTGCAAACGTGCAAACTCCACACAGAAAGACTCAGACTGAACTGGGATTTGAACCAGAAACCTTCTTGCTGAGAGGTGAAAGCTACATCTAAATAAATGATTACCTCCAACAAGGGGGTTATGTTTTTCTCTTTGTTGTTGGTTGGTTTGTAACCAAGATTACGCAAAAACTACTGGACCACAGGACTCAGAGTGAGGGAAGAACCCATTACATTATGTTGCAGATCTGGATCAGTGGGCAGATCCAGGATTTTTTTGACATTTTCATTGATTTCTCAGAAAATAATCAGATCTTGACAAAAATCTGGCAAATTTAGGGAACTGATATTTATAAGCGTGCGCAATTTTGTGCAGTTCCAAATAAAAATCTAGATCTAGTGAGGTTAAAGTTGCTTTCATAAGAGGACTGTTGGGACCATTCTAGCTTTTAAATAAATTTTTGTTGCATAGCACACTATGTTCAAAGTTGTTCCATTCCTCCTCACTGAATGTGAAACATCAACCCCTACTGCAGTCAGTAATGACATTAGCAGTGTGAAATATTGAAACGCAAATATAATCTCAAAATGAATGGATGGAGCTCCCTTTTAAATTTGAATAAGGAACATGTGATTCATTGAATAAACAGTGTCAAAAACATTTTTAAAAAGACCACAGATAGGAAATCTCTCGACACCGTTCTTCAAGACCGATTTCACACTATTGCCTCTATATTTGGGGTTTTGCACTCTCTGCAGGAGGAAGTGGCAAGTCGTCTTTGACAGTTATGTTCAACAACTGCGCTAAAGATCTCTGGCGCTAGGCGAGGTAATCAAGTCTGAAATTGATTTTAACTGGTAGCAGATTTAAAATTAAATGAAGGATAAAATAATTCTCTGCTGAGTTTACCTGTTTTAACTGCAGGCCAGGGGAGAGAATAAATATGTCTGTGTGTGCGTGCGTGCATGAGTGTGTTTATGTGTGCATGTGTGAGGACCATGAGCATAGACGGTACGGAGTGAGGACATTTCGGGAGAGTGAGGATATTTTGGCCAGTCCTCACTTTCCAAGGGGCTGTTAAAGGGTTAAGACCTGGTTTCAGGGTTAAGGTTAGAATTAGATTGGGTTAAAATGCAGCGTGCTGAATGTGCGTCACAAGGGGCCTGGGCATATGTGGGACCATGATTAAAATCACAATTGATTGGTTAAAATCATACCATAGAACGAGGTAAATCAAAAGAATAAGTAAATAAAATAACAGACAGTTTGAAAGACCACAGACAAGGAGTAAGGAGTAAGAGCAGTTGGGCATTTAGTTGTGATGATTACATTTAGGGTAAGGGGCTAGGGGACACATTATGCATATAAGTGTCCTCACTAAGAACTAGAAGAGTGTGTATGTGTGTGCACTCGTGTGTGTATGTGTGTGTGTCTGCTCATTACCTTGCAGTGGGTTTGTGCTGCTCACCATGTTAGGGTGAGGGACTCCACATGTCTGCAGGATACAAGTCTGAGAGATACTGGCAGAGAGCATCTCCTGAGCTAGAGACAGAGAGAGAGAGAGAGAGAGTTACCATAGATACCATAATAACCTTTGTCCATAATGTCAATAATCATCATCAAAACCTCAGTCACTGCCATTATTGCTATGAGGCTGTTATATCTTCAAAAAAATTGGATTGATTACCCGAGCGTCAGTCTGACCATATTGACCTCTTCACATGTGACGCCTCAGTGTGATCTGTGTCCATGTGACTACATCTGTCTGTCCTGCATCTGTCTGTCCCACATGTCAAATAATGTGTAAAATGGAATTATTAAGAAAGTCAGGCCTCCTCCAACTTCAGACTTGATTTCACTGGCTGCTAAACATTATAATCATTGCTATCATACAGTTAGTCCATTGACCAGGCCTCATCAGTATATAATCATCAGATCAACACCATTACCTTTATCATGAGTCTTTATCAGCGTCATTACTTATGTCAGCGCTGCTAATGATTACACATGACAAGTTCAGATTCCTTGGCAATGATTTGCGAATGATTTAGCTGTCTTTTTTCCAATGTAACACGATCAGATTGAATCTGCTTAACTGAAACCCAAATATATATATATTACACAAAAAAGATAAAATCCCTTTTACAGGAAGGTGATTTACAAACAGAGAAGCTGAAACAGGGACATATAATTCTATATATAATCAACTAATTCTTTCACTGCCAAATTCATCACAGCTTTGTCATCTTCACCGTCACAGATACCTCAACAGCAGCAACTACTCACCTGTCATCATGCCATAGGTGGCCTGCTGGTTGCTGTAGTGACAGGGGGTGACTGGGTAATGAAGGCTCGGAGGGCTGTTGCCGAGTGCGTTGCCGAGAGAGGAGGTAGACAGATGCATGTGTGAGCGCTTGGAGCTCTGACCCAGTGAAAGTCCAGATGACACTGATGGGGGACAAATGAGGTTCCATTGTGAGTGGAGAACAAAAGATGGAGGAAAACAAGAGCTGCAGAGACGTGTCAGCGAGGATCTGAGAAAACTTTTGTTTTCACCACTCTCAGCTGATAGCAGGGTATACTGGCGTATTTAGTTTTAATAATCTTTAGGGCGTGTTTTCTGTTAAATAACATTAATTGTTGACAGCTTAATCGTAGTAGTGTGTGTGTGTGTGTGTGTGTGTGTATATATATATATATATTAAATATATATAACTATATAAAAATAAAGAAATGTATCACTAACAATGTACATATCCATCCCATTTCCTCATACTTATTTATTGCATTGCACTACGTTGCTTCTTTGCACAACTGGTGTTGACAACATGCAGAACAAGTTATGGTAATGGTGATTTTTTTTTACTTTTATGGTGCTGGTCATTAGCGTTTCCTTTTGTACTGTTCTACTGTACTGTTTCTACTGTATATTCTACTTTCTTTTTTGTACATGTACAGTACAGTCAGGACTATGCCCGACTAGAATTTAAGCAGTATTGTACCATTCCAATTTATTCAGTTTGTATGTCTATTTCTATAAAAGTACACTGGGAGCAATGTAAAACTGGAGTCAGATTCCTTACATGTGTACAAATACAAAAAACTGATCCTGATTCTGAAAATGATGATGGCAAATATGTGGGTTTATATATATATATATGCATTGTGTAAGCACAGTGTGGTGGTGTACACATAACTTACATATGTCAAAGATTAAAACCGTAATCTTCACTTAGGAGCACAATCAGTCGTTACATTTTAAAATCAATACTGTGAAATTTATCATGACCATTTTGCCCTCATGCTCATGCAGACAGAACGGGGGAGAAGATGTTATGACAGTCCAATTTTAATAAAGTCTAACTTTAAACTTGCAGATGTACTTATGAGTAATACGAAATACTAGTAAATAAAATGAAATTCTTGGAATAAAAAAGACGAAATAAACATTGAGATGATTTAGAGTTTTTGGATTTTTGGAAGGGTTGGATTTATTGCGATTCCCCAGTCGGAGGATGACTCTAAAGTCTCCAAAGACTCTGCTGTGTGCTCTTCAGCTGCTAAGTGGTTTAAATATTACTTAAACATTGTTCTGGTCATGTCATCTGCTAATTACATGATTATTCACGCATTCACACTGGTGTGGTGAAGATGCACTCTGAGCTCGTGTACAGAAACTGTCTCTTTTCTTTTCATGTATTATGATCTGACTGAGTTTTCATGAGGGCTGTGTCAGAAAAAAAAAAAACACTTTACTACTGAGGATTCAGTCATAACTGTGAATTTTATCTGTTCCATTACCAAAACTTTTATTTGTGTTACCTGGCCATATTGTAGGCTGCATTTGGTTTATATAGTTACAGGCACACGATAAAAAAATATATGCTAGGGCAATAACAAAGTACAATAAGCACAGTGATGTCAGTGTGTGATTAACGTTCTGCAACACAGTCAATTCTAAACAACAACAATCAGCTGACACTAAAATTCCCCGGGTGTTTTCATCACATTGTTCTGGAGAAAAAAAAAAAGGACCTTGGAGAATTTGTCATAATGATAACACGTCCTCAAAGCAATTATCCAGTGAGCAGAGACAGCTGGGCCAACCCAGCTGATTTCATGCATTTACATAGTTTGAATTAGATTTGAATAAATGCATCAATTCGTCCTCCCCCGTCACCCGAGAACACAACAGTGCCTTGTTAAGGAGGCATCAGTGGGGCGGCTGAGCACAATTTGGTTAATTATACATCTATAAGAGCAACTTGTAACCGTACAAGAGACAAGGCTCACCTGTGGCAAACAAAAGACTTCCGATATAATCAATAGTTCACAAGTGTATCTCTCAGAATGCCCTCATCTGGACATTGTTGTATAGGCACAATGCTAGTACGCTCTCTTCTTAAAGTTTCCCCAAGTTTGGATTGTGAACTTGTTAAAGGCCTGTCTTTCTGCAGCTGGGATCTAGCGTCATGAAAACACGATTAGGTTATGGCCCAAATCATTTAGGATGAGTTAAAAAAGTTAAAAAGGTAAAACTCATGAGAATAATCCAAGAGAGAATGTGACAGGACAGAAGGCGACAGGACAGAAGACCCTCAGAAGCTCAGCTCACCTGCAGAAACCATGCTGTGTGCGTGGGACGTGGATGGCAGGCAGTCACTGGTTGAGGCGTGGTGCATGAGGATCGGCAAAGCTGAATCTCCTGGCAGCGTGGTGAAAGAGTCTGTGCTGAAGGCCTGACACGCCATTCTTCTCTGCTCTGATCCCAATGGTAAGCTGAAGCTTGATTGACTGATTTCTTGTCTTGCTTTGTCTTCTCTCACTTTAGTTGCCTCCCATCACTGCTTTCGCTTGTCCTTTGTCTTTTCAAGTCTTGTCCTGTTACCTTGTCGTCTTACTTTAGGTTTCGTCTTGTCTTCTTTGGCCTTCTCTTGTTCTCGACTTGTCTTGTCTCCTTGCACCACCTCGAGTCGTTGTCCTCTTTAGTTACTTGGGACTGTGCGGGTAGAAAACTGCGATAGGTTACTTTGTTTTTGATCTTACAGAGATGTCAGCACTTCAGCCCACATAATTCACAGTTTTTGGCATGACTCTTACTCTTACCCTCCGCTGCAGATGAATAGTGATGAGCTGCGAGTTCAAGTCACTATTACTTGTATGTGCTCAAAGGTCTTTCTGAGCTACTGAGATTTCCCTCATTAGGGCCTCTTCCGTGAAGCTCTCTGTCTCTATTAGATATGCAGGTAAGCCAGTCTGTCATACCCTCAGCTTTTTTGCCGCCCTTGTCTACTGCTGGTATTTATATCCCATCCATCTACGACTAACCACCCCTCTCTCAACCTATGAGGCCCCCCCGTCTCCTATGGAGCCGCTCACCCCCACCTACCAATCCAATGTCAGTGCTGTTATTACTTGTGTTTGTCCTTACCTGCGTTCTTCTCATCCCGCTTCCAAATCCAGGATTAGGGTACAGCGCAGCTGAGAAACCCGATCCCCTCCTCTCTTCTTGCCATCTCTCCGTCCCTCTCCCTGATTACAGGATCGTGTTGTGGAAGCAAATGGGAAAGCAAAGTGAACGCTTGAATTGTCTCAGACCAATTGTTCTGCTTTGTTTTACATGTGTGCCCTCAAGTCAATTCTAAAGCAAATTGGAAAAACACAACACGTACACCACAGATATTGGCCTTGCAGTAGCTTTTTTTGGGGGGGATGTTTTTTGTTCAGACCTTATGCAGCATGACCTGGAGGTGAGAAGCCCCCCTTCAACACAACGTATAAAGCCCACAACCCAAAAAACCCATTGCTTTATCTCAGAGTGAGTGGCAGAAAAGCTTACTACTATTTCGGCACGGTGTCCACATTGTGTCGAAAGCAGAGAGAGCGCCCCTGGGTTAAGACAACAGGTTTCATCAGGGAGGATAACGGTTAATCCGAGGAGCGTGGCCACCATGTGCACTCTGTTGTGTCTGTTTGTATTTGTGTTTATCCCAGGCTCTGCTTCACTATTGTTGATGTAGGTGGGCAGCAGGTGAGAAATAGCTTGTGGGTGGCAGGCACGACTCGACTTGCTTGTGTAAATTTGGATTGGGATGAACTCTTTGTCAATGTTTCTCCTCAAAATGAATTTGCATCTTAAATGTTACTGAGATCATTCATTCACTCAATAAGCTGAACAATCTTTTCATCTGAGGATGGTTTAGGGACAGTTTAATTCATTTCCATGTTCAAATATCAAAAGAAACAATCTCAAGATCTGTTAATTGTGACTTCGGGGTGTCACATTAAAATCCAAATTTAAATCTAAATGCTAATAACCTTTAACTTGGAGACTTGATAGTTGTGAATCTTAAATCAGATATTTGATTAAAAAGAGTCAATGAGGCCAAGCACTGATAATGAAAGCCTTTGTGACAAATAGCCGAGCAAATCACAACGGACGTTGACAAATCTCATCTCACCCGTTCAAGGCTTTTGAAATGAACAAAACAAAACCCATAATATTAAGGAGACAAGTGAACATAATGCTGTGTGACAACAGAAGAAGAGAAAAGAAAAAAACTCACCAACACAAATATCATCCTTAAAATACTTTTCTTTCTTCTTTCATTGCAGCCAACAACACCCACTCGGGCTAAAGTCCATCTTCCCAGCTGGTGAATGCAGGCTTATTTTTGCACCCTGAGACTGAACCACCTCTGTATTTTAGCAATCTGTGTGCTCCTGCAAAATCTCACAAAATTTATAACAAGTAATTAAAATAAGCATTCAGCAATTAGTGAGGTCAGTCTGCAGAATGTCTGAGTAATGGGTCATGGTGAACAGTGATGCAGCAAAAGTTCAAATATCTTGGATGTGCATGCTTTTCATTTTCCATTTTCTATAGCATTTTCGCTGAAAATGTGTGGATGAGCCTGAGGTGAAAGCAGCTGATGTGATGACTCGAGGTTGACACAACAGTAAATGTAGCCACAACATAAACACAGAAAGTGAACTCTTAACAAGAAATATTCACTATAAAATCACTTTCGACCCCTGGTTTAGTTGTAATGTTTCTTTTTGCCGCATGCTTACAAGAAAATCTCTTTCCTTCTGGAAAAATTGAAATGTTAAGCATTTGTTTGAAAATGTAACAATAAAACTTCCATGTTTTAAAATAATAATGATAGGAGGCTTCAGAGATCTATAGGCTCAAACCTGTGTAGGCTAAAAGGCCTCGAAGAGGAGTAAAAAAAAAAAGAAAAAAAAAAAGGATAATCAAAAGGCGAGGGAATGGAAAGGCAAAGCTTTCCCATGGATAAAGTAGACAGACAGACACACACACACACACACACACACATAAAGAGGCTGAACTTAATTAGTGAAGAGACTATGAGTCAAAGGGGTCTCTTAAAGCACCTGTCCTAGATCCCCCTCCACCATCCCTGCCACCCCCCCTCCTCACACACACACACACCTAAATACAGTGTTTCAATTTTCACATAGACTATTAGACTAATCGCTCATATAGGTGATTAAAAACATCTTGTAACAAGCATAAAATCGGATTTAAGCAAATAGAGTTATATCCCTCCCCAGCACAAACACACACACACACACCAAAGACCACAGGTACATCCACGGATGCAGTGGGAACATGGTGCTGTGACACATTCTCACAGGTATCATATACATACATACAGTGTACAAGGTGTGTCGTGTGTGTGTGTGTGTGTGTATAAACAGTGTGTTGACTGACATATTTTCAAATGTTTATTTTTAAGGTCAAGTAGGTTTTTAATTGGTTATTTGATGCTATTAAAACAGGGTGAAACTTCGTGATTGACAGCTGAGACCAACTCATGATTGCTGCCCAGACTCTGGCTCCAAATAAGAAAGATGGCAACGTTCATATCTGGGAATTTTGACTTAATTTACGTACAAATGCAGGTTATAATTAATAATGAGATTAAACAATTCATATTAATTATTGATATTTTATTCATAGTCTCAGTGTTGCCATAATTTCATCAATCTGACAACAATGTTATTAAATGATGAGTATTGCAGTTGAGTATTATTCAAATCAACCGTCATGTTCCTGAGATTTACACAAAGTACTTTTTCTATGGAGTGTTAAAGTTTTATGCAGATAACACAGTGAGAAGTGAAAAGTGTTTTCTTCCAGATTTGAGCTGCTGCCTATTTTCTGAGGTTTTTACTTAAGAAAGAATTTCAGGGTTGGTTGTGGGTGTGTGTGTTTCCTTTAATAATACACAGTGAACTGTAATGATTGGCCCTGCACCACGACAGAAAATTCCTCAAATAATCAACCTTGAATATGAAAATCAGCACCAGCGTTTATGCGCCAAAACCTACCTACATAAGTATTTCAAGTGAATTCTGGCAGAATGTCCCTGTTTTTACCCAAAGTAAACCACGAGAGAGGGAGCTGAAACCGATCGCTGCGGCTTTTTGTCTTGTTTGTGAATTTATGCATCTGTTCATTATGCAGGGATGAACTCCGAATGAGGTTTGTTGGATGTTTGAATACATCACGGCAGAGGTCAGCTCTCCTGATGAATATCAAGCAAATGTTATGCACCGCTCCGACCACCATCTGCCCGGAGCTGGGCCTGACTCACCCAGCACAAACACTGCCCCAACGCATGTGAGACGGCTAATTTCATCAACATATTCAACAAACCCTGCTGAGAACAGCAAAGGTTAAGTATCCATATAGGAGGAAACAAGAACCTGCTCTCGTCGTCTCTTGCAGATTACGATCTATTATCATCAAGTAAATGTTTAAACGTGAGCATTCCCCACGTTTATGTACAACTACCTCTTAAGTATCAAAGCATCACTTTAAGTGTTTTCTGTAATGTTCTGATGGAGTTCTGATGGAGAAAAAGAACTTTATTATGCTCTCTTGAGCTCTGTTCAACAAGTTCTCTTTTCATTCCACAGCACAAGAGGAAATAAGATATGAAGCGCTTTCAGCCACAGTTACCAATAACTTAACCCTCAACCCGACCACAAGCATTTTAAAATGGCAACTAAATTTTGATACACAATGATTGCACCAATTTCAATCGCTTCACCACTCGTTCTACACAGGCTGCATGAAAGGTTCCACGCAAAGTAATAAAAGCGAATGAGTCATCCAATCTACCATCAATAGTATTAAAAGGCGCTTGTGATCGCTGCCATAAAAATAAAAAAAACAAGTAAAAGCATCACCCAACATCGATCATGATTCAATGCAGTAAAGATGAAATAGAATTATTCCATATAAACCTACTGTGAGTCCAGCTGGGAACTTCTTCCATTTCCCTCCAACACAGACGTCAGTTTTCATCCACCGAGCCTCAGCCATGAGCGTGCACTGTCCACCCCGTTCCGCCTGAGAACCACATAAACATATTTGGACTTGCTAAATATATTTATTGCACAGCATGCTGAATGTTTAAAGAGACATTTATTTTACAATCCATATACAATTGTGGCACTCAGACCCAGTTTTAGACTCTACATAGTCAACACGGCTGCAGGCGTACTGCTCTGCCTGACCATGCTCTTGTCATTCATATCTGCTCTCTGCAGTGCTCGCACTTTCAAGGACTGATCGTCCAAATTACAAAATGCTGCGGGAAAAATAAGTAAATCTGACAAGTAAGATAACTTTTTTTAAAGGAACTGACAGAAGAAGAGTGACATGTGGGTCTATGATGGACAACAATATTAAAAAAGAGTGACACCTGTATAGGGGGCAACACTGCATGCATGAAAAAAAAACACTTGTTGAAGTGTCCCCTTCTGCTGGAGTGGTGTTTGAATCCATGAGAAATCATTCTTCCCTGCTGGGTTCTCTCTAAAATTTCCACTGCAGGAAAACTGTCTCAACGTCTGATGTTCAACATCATAAACCTTATGCACAGTGTACCAGCAGTATTTAAAAAAGAAAGGCTGATGCACAATGCCATCATGTTCTCCAGGCTGTGATGCTTCATGCTCAAATGAGTGTAAAATAAAAAAGGAGAGGGGAACAAAGGGAAAGAAACTGTAAAGGGAGGAGAAGAATAAAAGACATGTGATGTACACATGTACATGTAATATAATTAACTTCAATCAAGTCTCTCTGCCGAGGCAACAAATAAAAAAGAGAGAGCGAGAGAAAAAAGATAAGAAATAGAATAAAAATCATTCAGGATGGATGTAGGCGGTAGCTAGGCAACAGGCAGGAAGACAGGGCAGTTTACTCATGTGCCCTGTAAGTCTACAAGCTTTATGAGTTTCCATCTATCCCTTCATTGGCTAAACAAGCACTGAAATGAAACAGAAATAAAAAAATTTGAAAAAAGGTTTAGGGTCACTTAGGTGCAATTCAGCCAGAAGACAGTCAGAAAATTGTGAGCGGTTAAATGTATGTTTCTGCCGTTATTGCTTTTACCACTAGGACTTCTATGAACCTGCCTACATTGCTAGATATTGATCAATATTATAAATTGACTACAGTCTCGGTATGGGTCTAGGTCTCCAAGTTTAACCATTAATTCTTAATTTATCTTACTTCAATTAATATTTATAGAGTCCATATTCACATATCACAATTTTTATCATGGGACTGACAAGGTGTGACAGTCTCTGGCCATAACCCTCAGCGTAGTGAGGAAAAACTTCAGACCAAAACCTTTTAGCAGGTAAAAAATATAATACAATTATCTTAATGCTGTTACTTTTCACCATTTAAGATTTAAATCTGCTCTCATCAACCAAAAAGCCATAAAGTACATTTAGTCACATGAAGCATTTCAGCGCACTGTGCATTGAGCGTTACAATTGCATTTCACCATCTGCTACCTTGATCGAGCTTTCACCTCACCTGGCCACCAGGAGGCTACAGAGCAGCAAGCACAAATAAAAGGGAGTGAGTCAGAGACAGAGATGAAGAGAAGAGAGATGTGTCAGTAAAAGCAACTTTCTATGATCGTCTCCGGCTCAGATCTCCCCCTCAAGCCCTTTGACCATCAGCTTCAGTCTTCGGGGTCTGTGAAGGTTTTCACCCATGCAGAGCGATGGAGGGAGAAACCATTTGAGATCAGGGTATTTCAGGCTCAAAGCAAAACGCTTCTCAGATGACGACAGGCTCCTGGTGGTCTGACAGACAAGCTGGTTAACTTCATGTCGGGTTTATTTATTTATCTGGATCCACTCAGGCTTGTAACTTACTGACAGCTGTTCACATACAATAAAAAGTGAGGTAATGTGTACAGACATAAGCATTAAAGTGTAGAGAGAAATTCCCCGGATGCACTCATCCCTCCCTGACAGACAATGATTCATACTATGTCCGATGCAATTGTAAAAATTGTTCACCTGTTCCATTCTGCAGAGCTACAAGGAATTAGTTGAATCTGAAAAATGGAAGAGGGATGCCAGGTGTGGTACTGAGCTGAGTCTTTAAAAATGTAAGACATCATTAATTAAGGTGTGTTCATTGAGTCAGTTCTACCAAGCAGGCAGAGGAGAACACTGACTGAGCCACTGTCATCCTCCTTTTTTCCATACATTTGATGAGATGTAATTTTTCAGAGCAGCATTTTATTATTCAATTCATATATTTAATGTGAAAAAAGATGCTGCAAAGTACCAATTCATCAGAGTTGTTTTATTTCTGCTGCAGAACCTCAGCTCCATAAAGTGCATGAGGCTTATCAGTTTGATTGTTTTTTTTATTATTATTTGTCTGCAGCTTCCCTGGTTTGGTTCAGTCTCATAAACCCTGGCATCAGACAGCTGGATAAAAGGCCTTAAGTCAGTACGCTACCGACCAAAAGTAAACAGACAAATTTAGCAACTAGCTCGTAAATAATGGAGCATTTAGAGGTAAAGGAGACAAATATTTTCAGCTGGAGTTGGAATAGAACAAAATAGAGGTGAAAGGAAAGTCAACAGTGGACTTGTGTTCATCAGGTAAGACAAACTGAATGCTAATGGAGTGTTACAATTGGGCCCTCAGGCAAAAGGGATCTTGGAGCCCAACATCTGACTAAATCAACCCCGCCCAATCCCGCTGATTCTATTAAATTATAAACTCAGCAGGAATTGAGACATTCAACCTCTAAAGCTGCAAAGCTTTTCATAAAAAGATGGAAATTATGAAACAAGACCTTCTGCCTATGATGTTATTATCAAGCATAGAACTTATAGGGTTTGTCACAAAATGGTTGTTGCTGTGGACTAATCTCGACAATTGCCTGCTCTGCCTGGAACATTCAGAGCATACCTCTGGCTAACTCTCCATGTTGCCACTGCATAAGAAAGTAAAAAATAATTCTTAGTTCCGCACTTTTATACAAATCTGCTCAATATTGTTATGGGTTAATCCTTGAGTCATGTCCCAGCCTATAACACAATGTTCTGTAGTTTGTATGTATGATTGTGTCTTTCAGCAGGATTACTCAAATAGCAATGGAAAGAATACTTGTTTGGCCACTCTGTTGTTAATAAAGCAAATTTGTTACAAAACATTTGCTAATCAATACAGCATGTATGTTTTTTATGTTTTAATGTGTAATACAGAAGTTGTTTCTTTGATCGTGTGACTGAATCCCCTCTGATACTCTGATTCAAAGTTAATCCTCACAAAGCAGCAAACCAAGCCAAAACTGAGAAGTTTACCCCTCCTGAGATTCAAACTTTTCAACTGGCATTTTTCCCGAAAAAGTAAAAAATAAACTGCCAAGGATTCAGAGGGAACCGTCACTCAGGCAAGGCTCTTTCTGGCCACATGGCATTAATTGAAAAGCTGGGCCCGGGAGCCATCCATGTGCCTGACTGACTTTGATTGTGCCATAGGGGCTGGTCAGACATGAAAGGATGTCACTGGCAGGTACAAGGTCTGCCATCGGTACATTGATAAACACCACACGTGCAGTGTTGCAGGACAGCTCTGGGTTTAATATGCTGTCCAGGTTTTGTCTGTAGTGACAGGAAGACAGGGGGGATGAGACAGCGCTGCATTTTCGGTCTCCTAAATTCAAAAGAGCTGCTGTGATAAAAGCAACACAGTAAATAAATCAAGAAGAGCGATAACACAAATATCAGTGGGGTATGGGCAGTGCAATAACATTTTAAAACAATGAGTTTTCTCTCCCTCTCTCTTGGTCAGACCCTCCCCATGTAAAGACCCGAGCTCGGAGGCTCCGATCAAACAGTCATGGCGATGAAAAGAGCAGATCTCCGAGGGCTGAGGGAGAAAGGGAGAGATGCAACACACAGATCAGAGAGAGGGGGAACAAATGAAGGCTAATTTGCCCTAATGATCCAGACTGTAAAACTAAAAAAAACTTCAAAGACTCGCAGGACGACCTCAAGATTGCTCACGGATCATCTTTAGCGCTACAGAAGAGCCCACACAGTAGAGTGCATCTTACTCCGAATCAGCTTTGAGGATATTTTTCAGTCGCAGGCTTACATATTCGAGTTCAGACAATTTCTATTGCTGTTGTTGCCTTGAAGGCCACCTCTGCAGACCTAGATTTGAAAGGAACTGAGCGGTTGGTAGGCACTCGGGCTGCTGTACTAAAAACTGTACTAAAATAAATGTGAGGCAGCATAGATGGAACGATTAACACCACAATAATATGATTTCCTCATGCCAGCCTCCTCTAAAAGTGTGAAAGTGGATGGGAGCAGGTTACAGAGGAAGGTATTTAACATGTTTTGCTGCCAGTGCATTCTGACATTGTTTTGCAGGAGGATGTCATATCTGGGAACATTATAGCCGCCTTTAATGTTACCAGTAACACATTGTCCTCACAACTATAACACGTTGAAATATTTTCTGTGGAAAAAAAGTGGATTCAAACAGTATGATATCCAATGTACTTTCTGCTAACAGCACCACAATTCAATACATTCTTAAGATGCACAGATGCTTTGCAGATTTGCGTCATTATACCTGCAATTATGCAAATTGAAGGCAAGTGTCAGAAATCACAATTTACTGCTCACTTACTGTCATTATATTCGGAAGTAGAGAAGGAAGGGTGTGAATTCAGACATGTCTTATAACAGTATAAGCAAGTTGACATGATTGACAACGTCACTTATGTTGACGATTCCAAGCCGCCGCTGCTACAGAGCGATGGTCGCCTTTTTTTCAAAGTGCATTAATATTGAATGAATCACGTGAACAAAGCTCACAAAATTCAACACTGCACAATACACATGAAGGTGAATAGATGAACAGTTCAAAAAAGATTTCTGGAAATGTTGATAGATGAAAGTAGACAGAGTCCATCCAGTCAACAAGTTTGTTTGGCCACAAGTGTCTTCAGCCACACACACACACACACAATGTTTTTCCCCCAATAAAAAAGAAGGAGAAGAAAAGAGACGTTTTGCTCTGGGTTCAAGCAGCAGTCTGGTGGCCAGGAGTCACCTCAGAGGCTTCTTCCTCTCAAATCGCAGAAACAAAGAAGCAGACAGCAATTTCAACTCCAGCTGGTGCCACACGGCCCGCGTTTATTTTAATTTTATTGGATTCACTCTTTTTAATTTGTGTCATTCATATCTCAGTTTTACACTTTTTACATTGATGGGCTCTTGCCACATGTTGAGTTGAAACAGCTTTAAACTCAATTTAAATGTCACAGTAAAGGTACTACAGATAAATCTGACTATACTTAAAATGAAGTGTGTCTGCAAAGTTTTTACTTTTGTCCATTCACTGTCTCTATGGTGGATGAAGTGCAACAATAAATGCAACAATTACGGAGGAAGATAAAAATTCAAATATCAGTTCTGGCATTCAGCACAGTACTGCATGGATGATTTTGAAATGGTAATCACTGGACACTCGATACTAATCTGCTGATTTTGCAGATGGATTTTGACACACAAGTGGCTAAAAACATGGCAAAACCTCACTCAACTTAAGATATTAAAGGTTTTCAAGGTCATATTTCTATTTTTTTTTTTTTTACAAAAGAACCCTCCTCAAGATTCTGTCTGGAAAATTTTAAGAAAGCACATACAGGGAATCTAATTATAGATTCAGTGAATTTTTGGGCTATTTTGCAGGTTCATTGTTTTCTGTGGTAGGGAATAAGAATAGAGTTTGCCACAGATGGATAAAGCTATAACACACCAGGAGGAAAGAGCAAATAAAAATGCTAAATTTGGGCACTTTAATGTCACGCTGCCATGGCCATAGTTTGCCCTGTGCAGCACAACAGAACATTTATAAAAGATATACAGAGTATACTGCATGGTTGAGTGAAAAATAAAGTTTTAGAAATTCATTCATTTTTGGCATGAAAAATACAGCAGAGAAGCACACACACCATCCACATTGACACATCAGTGTGGAGCTCTACAGGTTTGTCTGTGCACATATACCTGGATGCAGTGACCTCTGGTGACTCATGGTCATGTTTTCATATGGCTTGTATAGAAAATAAGAGGAGATTAAAGATGATGGCTTTGAATTGCAGCTTCTGTTGTTCCTCCATTCAGGCGTCTCCTGGACGTCTCAGTCTTTGCCACACTGAGTAATAAATGGTTAACTGGAGGGAAATAAGACTTGACTGCCTTGAGAGAAAAGGTAACAAAAACCACACTCGTTTTATAGACAATGCCAAAAGTTACTGAGTCACCATGGCAACAGCAGATAGCGCAGCAGCAGATCACTTGGCGATCAACATGTTGCATGGACAGAAGGGCTTGTGGGTCTAAAAGCTGAGAGGGCTTCTACATTATAAACACAGATGAATAAAATGAATAATTAATTTTACTAATGAAACTCCCCTGCATTATTCAACTGCCAGGAGGAGATATACATAACAGACAAATTAAAATAGAAAAGTTCAACTGTACTTTTAAATGGACTTCAATTGTTCCTCCCAATGGCAACAAGAGCAGTTGTAGCAATGGGCTTAAAGAGCGTGAATATATTGTGCTGCTGATTGTGTCCAGGAAGCCTCATGTTCATGTTGCCTGCAGCAGTAAAAAATACGGGATTGCACTCACTAATCAGTAGTGACTGGCACATCCATTCCATCAGTCCATAAACGACCTGCAGGACCTCTGTCATCCCAGGTGAAGGAAACAGGCAGAGTTTTCATTTTCCTTTAGTCTTTTTTAAAAAACATGTATAGTTTATTCAGTCTGTTCTACGCTCTGTGTCATTTTTCTGGCAATTGTTTGATCATATTATTCCTGGCTCTGTCAAGAGGATGATGATAATTTCATCCATAACCAAATGTAACATACTGGCTCAGTTTTATCCTACTAGAAAACAACCCTAAGGGGCATAACACTTATGGAACATAAACTGTATATAGAGATGGATGACATTGAATACAAAGCCTCTTGATCACCACCTGGAGGCAGCTGCAGTGTAGGTCATTAAACCCCCTTCTATGTTGATGGTTGAGACATGGGCCAAATTCAAAAGTTGAAGTACACATAAGATAAACAGTTTTGTATCGTTTTGGGTTGTTCTTATCATATTGATTTATATCCAAGTGTTACCTTTTCCGATAAGTTTGGCTGTGGTGATTTCATGCTATAAAACCTGTGAGAAACATGATAGACATGTCTGTGAAGATTGTAAGCGACCCAGCTCATGGAATCTTCAGAAGTATGACAAGTGTACATAGGCAGCTGGACTTGCTTGCATTTCACCGCTCATCCAATAGGCTTGGGAGGTTTCAGGTATTTTTCTTCCGTTGGTCTGTACCTGTGCTGAGAGTTGCTATGTTAAACTGGCAAGTTGTTAAACCCCCCACCAGTTAGGGGTTGTTGTCCCTGCTTATGCCACTCAACTCTTCATACCGTCAAGATTTTCAGATAGGAGACTCATAAGACTGGGGATCAATGCAGTCTGGTAAAATAATGCTTGCTCACGTAAGGACCAATGACATTAACAAGTGTGGTCCTGCTACAAAGTGGATGAAAAGTAATTTTAATTGGATCAGCAGTTTCAGTTGGTTCAGAGATATAATTTAAGTAGATACACTCCGTTCAAGTTCAGTGCAGTTCAAAGAACACATCTCTATCCCTGCAGGTCCAGTTGATTTGCTGATCTATCCCACTGAACTGACATATACTGTAGGTCTCTTTCGGGGCATCATTGTTTCTAGAATATTAGCATATCTGCTCTACTCGGGAGCAGAGACACTTGAGAGTACTTGATTTATAAAATGAGAATAGGCTCATGGCAACGAGCGCAGCAGACTTTGAAATGTAAATGAGGAGAGGCAGGCGAAAGACGTTTTGAATTTGGACAAAATTGGAGGAGAAAAGGAATGAGGAGAGGTGAGGTGATGTAATGTTTAGAGGAAGTGAGCCAGCAAATGGAGGGAAGGTAGGAACAGATAATGAGAACAATGGGCTGATGAAAGTAGATGGAATGTTCTGATCTTTGTCCTCATCTAGGCCTCTCCACAGTTTTACCACAGGTCTACAAAGAGATGCTTGGATTTTGTCCCAACATGCAGTGTGAATTGTGGGACGACTGGGATCCCACAACCGCTACAGTTTTACAAAAGACAAGTTCTAGACTTAAGGATAATCAAAGCAAACAGGAGGCAAATTACCACAGTTGGGTGAAACAAAGCAGTGATTATGGCTTATTAACTGTAGACTAACCAGCAACAACACTAGTTTTTTTAAATTTAAAATTAAATTATAATAAATTGTGTCTGAGAAATTGAGGGCTCTGAAAACTTTTTGAACAGTAAACAGAAAAGGAATAGAGGTAAATAGCCTACCAGGTGTTAGGGCCGGGGGTTCTATCTTCAATGTGGGCACGAATTCTGCGTCTGAGATGCATCATTGTTGGGGTTGTTGTTAGCGTCATTGGGATGTGCTGGATGCAGATCTCCCATGAGCTCAATATTCATTGAGTGCACTCATCTTCATCAATGGTCACTGGGATTCCTGGCTTGTACCGTGTCCTGAAAGCAAAACACAGTGAAGAGAAAATAAATAGGAGACCTAGAATAGCGCTCAGACAATTTTCTTCTACACTTGTGACTTACAGGATCCAAGATTTCAATCATCTCAATTCTGCAAGTAAAAGCATGGAACTCTCTCTGGAGAATGGCCAAAGAGGAATTAACTTACTGGATTTTAACATTTTAAAACCATCCCCAGATGAGCTGCATACCAAAATTTTTCACAAGGATGGAGATCGCAGTACAACTCTGCATGCTGCCTGCTACCACCCCCTTCAATCTCATCTCCTTCAAATCATTTGAGATCAAGAGGAGTGCTTCAAATTTAAAAGCTCTAGAAATAAAGTTGCAGATGGCAGAATGGGGGTGTAAATATAGGGATTAGGAAATGTCACACCTTGACGGCAAATCTATGGACACAAAAAACATATAAATATATTTCTGTATCAGCTTGCAGTAAACCGTTTGCTCAGCAACATCATTAATCAGGAGTGCATGGAGCATATTAAGTATTGATCCACCCTTGCAGAAGGTGTGCCCTGAGCTTGCTCTCTTTGTCTCCAGGAGGGTTCTCACGCTACAAGATAACCTGGTCCACAGCTAGCAAAGACTTCATTGCTCCACAAACCTGTGGACCAGTTCCCCAGTGGCAAATGTTTCTTTTTTAGTAACATTTCTAAAAGGGACACATTTGTACAAGTACATGCAAACTGCAACACTTTCCAGGAAGTATATCATCTTGTATGCCAACATTGAGTCTATAAAGACCGACTGGAGGAGCCCAATACTGCTATTTGCACAATAAGTCCACACAAGCCTATGAATGATGATTACAATCATGTGCGGCATGTGAGATCCTCTTCTTTGACAGTGGTGATATATCAACCAAACCTCGCCAAGGAGAAACATTTTGGATCGTCACACTGAATCCCAGGACTGAATGATGAAGCAGACTTTCTGCCCTGCCTCTAGTATCTTCTGTATTACCTCTTCTGAGCCTTAAAAATAATCTGTTTTTCCATATAGGCACTTAGTGTTATCCCTCATGCTGATAACAGGTGAATACTCAAATGAAAACTTGATATAAAAAAAGTTTCAATAAACAATCTTTCATGAGACTTAAAAGGTTTCATAAACTTAGCAGGCAGTCAGGAATGGGAGAAGGTATCCAAAAATCAAATAAGGCTGAAGGCAGAATAAAAAAAAGGCTTTGTAACAAAACTCACTGAAAATCAAACAAGACAAAGTACTGGAACCCTGACGAGGAAACAAAGTGGCGACAAACACTGGGGAACAGGCTTTACATACAGGAGCTGACAAGAAACAGGTGGGAACAATCGAGGCATGGCAGGTAATCACAGGAGGGAACCCAGACAAAGAGAGGAAGTGAAGTGCTCTGACACAATAGACACAGAAAAGTACAAAATAAAACAGGAAGTAATAAATTCAAAGTAGAAATATCTGAGATAGAAATCCAAAAACCAAATGCAAGGAAATCTACATGGTCAAAGTCCAATAACATGACAAGGTGTCCAAAACAAACAAAAGTATTGTGACATGATATGAAATTAATCAGCTCCTCTATTTATACATAACCCAGCTCACTATCTGTAAACACATTTGTTTGACATTTTGCATGGATTGATTAGATTTAAAATTCATCTTGACTAAATTCTGTTATGTTGGGTTTTAGTTTCAGACTATTTATTTTATTATTATGCCCCATTGTAACGTTTCCCTCTCTGGTTGGGATGTAGCACCCAGCTACAGTCCCCTCCAAAAGTATTGGAACGGTAAGGCAAAATTCCTTTATTTTTGTTGTTCACTGAAGACATTTGGGTTTAAGATCAAAAGATGAGTATGAGACAAGAGTTCAGAATTTAAGCTTTTATTTCCTGGTATTCACATCTAGATGTGTTAAACAACTCACGACATACCACCCTTTGTTTGAACCCACCCATTTTTCAAGTGAGCAAAAGTATTGGAACATGTGACTGACAGGTGTTTCTTGTTGCCCAGGTGTTGACTTTTAGGATGATTGTCCAAACATTAAATAGCTCTGCATGACTAGTCTAAGTTTTCACCCTTGGTTCA